CTCTCTCTCTCTCTCTCTCTCTCTCTCTCTCTCTCTCTCTCTCTCTCTCTCTCTCTCTCTCTCTCGTGCGTGCGTGCGCGCTCACTCGCTTGCATGTACTTGCTTTCGAAGGTAGATGGGGATTTCAATTCCCCATAGCAGCAGTACAGCCAGCTGTACAGTTGTCACAGACAAATAATTCCACATCTGTCACACAGGTGCAACAAATCTGTTGGCGATGCATGGGTACGATTGACAAGACAACTGACCAAACTTACCTTTGTCTGGCATTGTGTGATGTCATAGCGGTACAAACCCTTCTCGCCACACTTCTCCCACTGCAGAAAAAACAAATGCAACATTGCAAAACCCAGCCATCCAGTTGTGCTTCAGAGTTGGAACCAAAATTAAAAGGAAATAGCCTGAAGCAAAGAAAGAGGATTAAAAAAAAAGAAACAGATAAAAAGAATCTTCGTACCCCGCTGAAGGAAACAGATAAAGAATCCAACACCAAGCGCGGCATCAGAATGAGGGCATACTCACACTAGCACTTTCCTAAATGTATCTGACTGCAATTCCGGCCAGACCTGGATGAATCTGACTGCAATCGCGGCCAGACCTGCCTTGAAAAAGTCCTAGTGTGAACCTGCCTTGAAAGCATACTCACACTACTACACAAATACTTTTCCTAAATGCATCTGACCGCAATTCCGTCTGGACCTGACTCACCTGAATGCATAGGACTGCAATCACTTCCAGAGCTGAGGCAAAAAAAGGCATCGTGTGAGTATGCCCTGAAAGGAGATGACCTGCCTCCAACAGATCTTGCCGGAATTGTTGTTAGATACAGTGTAGCAGGTCGAAACGCAGGGGTCGGGGACTCCATACCTGTGTTGTATTCGAATGAGGCATGTCGTTCGTCATTTTCTGACTAGTAGTTTTGACTAATCACACGTGCATTACGAGTGAATTTTTGAATCTGATACGTGCTTCCCCCGAATGCAACGTACGGTCATTATAGCTGTACTTATACTGAAGGATACCCCAAATACAGCTATAATTAATGCTATTCTATGAACTGCCTCCAACAGATCTTACGATCCAACTTGAAAAGAGAAATAAGCAGCGCCTGTGGGTCAGCTGCAGGTCAGCTGTGGTGCAGCCACAGTGGCAGCTGCAGATGGGCCAGCTGCCATCCAGCCACGTTGCCAGGCGGGGGCCCGCTGTGGTGCAGCCACGGTGTTAGCTGTGGGTGTAGCCATGTCGCCAGTTGTTGCTGCTGTCACAGCGCCAGCTGTGGGCCAGCTGTGAGACAGCTGTTGTGACAACCGTTGTGACAGCCGTTGTGACAGCCGTTGTGACAGCCGTTGAGACAGCCGTTGTGACAGCCGTTGTGACAGCCGTCGTGACAGTCGTCGTGACAGACGTTGTGACAGCCGTGGGTACAGCCATCGTGGGTGCAGCCACCGTGGGAGCTCCGAGCCAGTCAAGTGCAGTCCAGCCGAAATGACAGCAGTGGAAGGTCCATGAGGCAGGCTCGGCACATGCATGGGTGAGCCAACTGATAGGAAAGCTCATTTGTACCAATCGCGAGCAATTTGAGCTGGCTGCTAATTTGTCGATGAAAAGACGAAACATGAAAGTTCGAATGATAAAATGAAATTGATATGACATTCAAAACTACCATGACGACAGCGTTGCACACCTGCCGACCGCTGACCCCGACCGCCGACCGTTTTGGAGCCGACCGGTAGAGCGAACCGGTCGGGGGTCTGCCGACCAGTCAGAAAACAGCCATCAACTGATTTTTTTTTTGAATCCGAGTTGGGGGCTGTACTGCGCTTGCTGCGTACAGCCCAAATCCGCTGAGAAACTTATGGGGATGCGGGGGGCGGAGAGGGGGGGGGGGGGGGGGGGGGGGGGGGGGGGGGGGGGGGGGGGGGGATTGGGGGGTTTGGGAAAGGTTTGGGGGGATATGGGGGGAAGTTATGGGGGTGTTGGTGGGGTTATTGGGGGTTCTGGACCCAAAAAAATATATTTAAAAAAAAATAAAAAAAATTGGTTGGGTGCTGACCAGTCAAGTGGAGCTCACCATCGGGGTACGCAACACTGCATGACGATTGAAAAAAAGAAAAAAGACATTGAATTATTCTAGGCTGCACTCCGGGCCGCCCGGCGCCCGGCTCGTCGCCCGGGCGGGGGGCCGGGCCGCCTGGCCGGTCGTCCCGCCCGGTTGGCCACCGGGCGACCCCAGCGCATCATAGAGGGTTTTTTTTTTTTTTTTTTT